GCAAGAGTAGTTATTCCTTAAGCGTAAGTGGTAGAGGCTTATGATGAAACCGGGCTTGATTTGAGCTGCTACATTTGCACTTCTCCACCAAAACCCCACCTCCACTCACTGGAGGTTTCATTTGCAATTAAACGATTTGAAGTTTCAGCAGTGACAGAATTAATAGCATGCACACTAACCTAAATGATAGTCTTTACGTTCTTTTTTCTCCCATTGTCAGGAAAAGGAAAAAAGACAATTCTTAAATTCAATCTATTTGGCATAAGCCAGTAGCCGCTTCCTAATTTAAATAGGAGAAAAAAATAAATGTTCTTAATTTAATGTATCTTCAACTGAGCCTTTAAAGGATATCAGGAATAATTCTGCATGAACAGAAAAGCACACCAGAAGTGATTTCCACTTAATAATGTTTACAGTTCAAGAGAGATGTTACATAGGCCATTCAGAAAATAAAATCAACCAGAAATGTAAGTCTGTCTAATGCTGTGTCATACTGTAATTCTCTTTCCAGAAAGATCAGCACAGCGCTTCGGGGTACACAGTCTCCTCTGAATGCATGCCCAATCACTTTCCACTCCTTCAGGGTAGTCCATGCCCCTCAGATAGGAGCAGAGTATTTGACTTTTCAAATCAGTGACAAATTGTATTTTTTTTTTCTGATTTTGATTCTATTTTCAGCCTGGTATTGGATACAAGTCAAGATAGAACTGGAGCAAATGTGAAAATTGCTGCAAGGAACTAGAATTTAGTATGATAATAAAAGGCATTTCTAAAGAATAAAACTGCGTCCACTGGTGCCAGGATACCATTCCCATACAGCGGAGCCCTTAAAGGCAGAAAAACTGAGGATGAGAATAAACAGGAGACAGTATCATCGTCTCTAGTTATAATTAATCAAAATTTATGTCACTGTGGGTGTAAAAATCATCCTTTAAAATAGAACACAACAATAAGGCTGGAACTAAAAGAAAACTATATCATTAAATAATCTTGTGACATACATTTATTTATTGCAGCTGATTTCTTAAAAGCAAGGGCATAAATCAATGTACCTACCGAGTTCCTAGCATTTTATTAATCTCCGAAAGTGCGAATGCAGCCCAGTAAGAGGGGCACCTACTTGTCTTGAAAGCTGCTGGATCTAGCTCATCTTTCTCTGACAAGGTATAAAAGCTAAAATTCTTCGGTGGTGGAGGTTCAGAGGACGGAGGACAGCAGGGATGTCTGCCCAGCTAGGAGCATGATTTAGGTGTTTGACTGCCGTTAGGGTGGGTAGGAGCTGCCTACACAATTACAGGCTCCACTTTGTGGGAACATCAGAGGGATGAAAAGCTGTGAGAGGGCAGAGCCAACATGGAGCAATACACATTGGCCATGATCTCGTGAGATAAAGGAACCACAAGAGCAGAGTGTGTGCAACACCTGGACCCGGGGTTTCTCATGCTTAGTGGCTGCGTTTGGCCCCACAAAACATCACCTTCCCAGCCAGGTGCCAAGCACAGCCTATGCCGGGCACAGCTGCTTGTCCTGAGTCTTTGGGCTGCAGCACCCGGCTGGCCAGTGAGCCGCAGCCCTCCTGCTGAGTGCCACAGCTCGCCCGGTGAAGCTGGCCTTCAGGTGGGACACGGGGCAGCAGCTCCAGTAACTGTTTGTTACGTGCACGGCTCGCCTGCTCAGGGAAGCTGCTGCCAAAAGCTGCCTCCCTCCTCACATCCACACTGCTCTGCTTGCCCTTCCCCTACAAGCCCTACTCACAAACACCCGCAGTAGGGTATATATGGAGCTCTGCTCATCCTCCTCCCCACCAAATTCTCTTCTCCGAATTATGCAGCTGCTTTGGTGGGAGGTGAACCTTGCTATCCTCCTATTTCTGGCTATTAAAAAAGAAAGGGTTTGGGGTAAGCAAGTTCCAAATGGACAGCGTCCATCCTTCAGCCATCCAGGCATGTCAGAAAACCTTTAAGAACCTACAGGAATGTAAACCGAACCTGTGGTGATTGAGGATCAGGCCCCTACATCCTCTAGAATAACCACGTCAGGAAAATCTCTAAAAACGCATTTAAGAGAAAAGTTGGAAGATCACATGTGCTGGAAAGAGCTAGAAGCTGTCCTCCAGGAGCAAGCAGAAGAGGCTGGATTAACACCTGCAAACCTAAGGTTTCACTTTTTAATTTTTTTTCCCATTGTTCCACCAGAAGTAATAGTTGTGCGGTCACGCTCACCTAGATTTGAGAGCAAGATTGCAGGTGATACAGAATGTAATAACTTCGTTTCACTGTATTTGAGTATAAAATATCTCAAATACTTCGTTACAGCATTTTAGTCTGCAGAATCTGCCTTTCCACTGACAGTATGTTTGTACTCATGCTCATGAATGCATTGCACAGAAGATAATATTTTCATACACTCTTTTGCACTGCTGCTCCTCATAACATCTAGCCTTCTTGCACAGCCCTCTTGCCATGCTGCCCCATGGACATCCCTTACTGTACAGCTCCTTCACCCCCTGGATGCTCCTCCTGCTCAGATCAAGATTCTGAGCATCCCCGAGCAGCTCCCTGCTACTGAGACTGAAACAACGTCACCTCTGCAGTATTAAACACACAGAGAATTTTTTATTGGTGAAAACACAAAAATTAAATTTTAGTCAGTATCTCAGTCCTAGCCATCAGCAAAGGAATGCACAAAATTAAGGCTAAGTATGAACATCAGGAACCTGTAGCATCCTTCAACTTTGAAAGTGCTCAGCACTGGGATGGGGACAGATTACTGCAGCATTAATGCTGGAAGTGAACATCTCAAGCCATTGCAGGCAATACATATAGCATGTATATTCACACACACTTGTATGTGCACCCATACATGATTATATAATCAACAGGGATCTATTTTTATAGAATTATGGAATAAAAACATATCTACACCTATAGAAAAGAATTAAAGCTGTTCATTCAGAAGGAACATATGTGACTGCACCCTTCAGACTTGCCTTTTAATTTTAAAAATAGTCAGTGACTCTCATTTGACACTAATTTTATAGGAAAAGTAATTTTTTTAACTTGTAATTGAAGTTATTCCTGATTTATATTAGCAGATGCGACAAAATAATCAGATTTGAAGTGTTAGACAGATGGTAACTCGACTTGTTGCAAGAAGGCAGATATTCAGCAGCACAGAAAAGATTCTCAACAAGGGAAAAAATGCACCTAAATAGCAAAGCACCCGAAAAGTGATTTCTCAGAGTCAAGAACAAAAGAATGCGGACCAATTCTTTTCTTACACCATCACTGTGCCAACATGACTTTTCTGACTTGAATCACATTAATTTATATCAAAATGTGGAAAATGGGAATGAAGCAGTAGTTACAATGCCAAGATAAAAAAGAAGGTTTTGAACAATATGTATCATATGAATCCCATATTAAATTAAAATAAAATATGCAGATTTCAGCAATATGTGCTGTTATAATTATCTCTCAGGGAAGCCAGTGGAAACTATTGTTTGGGACATCAAGGCGAGGTTGGAAGAAATTTTTGCATTCTTAAATGAAATTTCACTGAGAGCACAAAGGAAAGAGGACTGTAAGACCTATCAAAGTTTTTCTCATCTCTCAAGTCACAGAATGTGTTTATTTTTCAAACAAATTCAATAATGCATCAAAGCTGTAAAGCTGTAGTTGTCTTTTATATAGCATTTCCCTACATGAGATAACAGTCAAAGCTAGGAAAATACAAATACTAAGGTTATCTAAAAATACTGCACTGAGCTACTTCAGAATACTTCAAATATTTTGGGTAACACATGCTCTAATTATACCGTTGTATTATTATCAAATTAAATAGCTTCATTTTTTTTGTACTAAAACGAGACAAGCCACCTGAGATATCGTCTATTAATTTCAGCACTACAAGCCCAGATTCCCAGTAGAGAAAGAAAAAAAAAAAAAAATCAATGGGAAAGAAAAGTCTTTACTGAAGCCGGATGACTATTAGCTATCAATGCACTGCTAACTTCTCCGCTTAAACAGCTTGTCTACCCTGATCTAGCTGGTTCAAGCAAGACTGAACAGAAAAGGGTACATTAGAACCAAAGCAAACCGATAGCAGATGGTGACTCGACTCGTAAGTAATTTCTGAAGCTGAATAAGAACATGCCAAAAGATATTCCAATGCCACAAAATTCAGCAGATGCAGTTGTCTAACAGATTAAACTACTTGTTGCAATTAACATTTTATGCCTTTACGTGTTATCGCAGAAAGCAGCAAGCATTCAGTTGCAGCTGAAACTTTATGAGGGAAATGTAGTGATGGGCACAGAGGTACAGATAGGAGTGTAGGATGGTAGGGCTGGAGAACAACCTTCTGTTTGTTCTCCATGAAATTACCAGGACTCCTGAGCCATTGCTTTCAGTCTCCCAAAGCAATGCCGAAGTACTTGATGGGTTCAACCCAAATTCACTCTTTATTTTAGCTTGCACAATGCTTCACTGACTCTCAGCTACAGGTGTAGCTATCGAGATAACCACAAGTCATGGATTTCAAAGCACACTTACAAGAAACTGATGCCTCAGGAATGCCTGTGCATCCGTGAGGCACAGGGCAATCTGTTGCTGAAATATTTCTGACCGGCACGTCAAAACTTTCTTTTTACCTCGCTCGGTATGGGAAAGCCCTGTAAACGCACCAAGTTCACGTCTCCTGTATGGAAGAACGAGCGTGCCACGCACCGTGTAAACGCACGCAACTTTTCACCCCGAATTGTCGCTCGCACCATGTCGCGACAAGAGGCTCTCACGACCCTCCTCCACGCATCAAGAGGCTGCCAGGACGTGCCTCATTCCCCTCTTCCCCCAAAAACCCTTCATCCTTCACCGGTCCCACGACCCATCGCGGGCCCGGCCGTGGGCAGGGGATGCTCCGGCAGCCCGGGACAAGCCGAGCGGAGCCCCGCAGCCACCGGGGGGCTGCGAGGCAGGGCCGGGGGGTCGCGGAGCACTCACCGCGGGGGCGGTCAGCCGGCGGATGCTCTCGCCCAGCGAGTCCAGGTTGACCCGGCGGCGGCGAGGAGCGCGGCGAGCACCGGCGCTGGCCGCGGAGACGGCGGAGCCGGCGGCGGTGATGGAGATGGATGCGGCTGCCAGGGACGGATCGGAGGGGCCGGGGGGGCTGCGGCTGCCGTTCCAGCAGAGGCGGGACAGGGGACACTCGCCCTCCTCCTCGGGGCTGGTCTCCGGGCAGTCGGAGCCCAGCGAGCTGAAGGACTCGGAGGAGATCTTGCGGCGGGACATGGTGCCGCGGGGCGCCGGGGCTCAGCGCAGCGCGGCGGGCAGCCGCGGCGGGCAGCAGCGCCGAGCCGCGGGGCGCCGGGGGCGGCCGCCTCGCATGGCCGCGGGGTGCCCCCGGTCGGGGGGGCTCCGGGGCCGGGGTAGGGGTCGGGGCCGGCTCAGCCCCGCTCCCAGCTCGGCGCTCGGCCGGGGGCAGCGCGGGTGCGGCGCCGGGAGGCTTTAAAGCGGCGGCCGCTGCCCTCCTCTGCCTCGCCGCCCTCCCTCGCTCTCCCCTCCCCCGGCTCCCTCGCTGCTCCGCGGGGATCACGTGTTGTTTGGAGCCCTTTCCTCCTCCTCCTCCTCCTCCATCTCCATCTCCTCCTCCTCCTCCGCCCGCCTCCCCCCTCCCCGCCTCTCGCTGCCCATGTCCCCCCGCAAGGGGCTGGCGGACACCCGGGACCCTCCCGCTGCGGGCATCCCGACCCTAACCCCGACCCCAAACCCGACCCCAAACCCGACCCAAAACCCGGCCCCGACCCCAAGCCCGGCCCCGCCGCCTGCCGGCCCGGCGGTGCTGGACAGCTCCCTGCAAAGCTCCCCGAGCCCCGGCTGGCGGCGCCTCCGAGGGCGAGGGATGCCGGCCCTCCGCGCCCGACAACTTTTCCGAGCGGCTTTTCGTGGGAAAATCACGGCGTTTGAGAAAAAAAAAAAAAAAAAAAAGGGGGGGGGAGGCTGCAGCGCGCTCGTCAGGTTTCAGAGGCAAAAGTTGCTGCCGTCTCCCTGCGAGCGCTGCCCCTGCTAACGCTGGGGTCGTGTCTGCAAAAAGAAAAGGGCTGCGTTCCTTCCACAGCTCTGTGCTGCGAGAGGGAAAAGGAGACGGGTGGAGGAAACTAAGCAGGGGAGCTTGGATGTAGGATGACACCCCTAAAGACTATGCAAGGGGTCTCCTTCCCTACCCAAGCAGGCAGGTTAAAGGAACCTGGAGAGTTTCTTGGCAGCCGTGTTTGTCCCATGATTGTAGTTCTTGGCAGAAAGCCTGCGAGATGCGATCTCAGTGGTGTGGTTCTTCCTGCCATCCAGCCCGTCATTGATTTACCTTCAGTTAAACAAATCTTGTTTTAAAAGGTAATCTTTTTAGGATAGTTTTTACTCTACCTTTCCCCTATATTAGGGCATACATTTTACCTCTTCATCCTGTTAAATGTTTGAGCTTAGCCTAAACAAAAACTCAGTGAGAGACTGGGAAGATCTCTACAGGCATGGAGCAGCCTTGAGCATGGCCCGAGGCAGCACAAATGCTGTATCTGCATCCAGAAGGGACACGGGGCTGTGGCTGAGCAGGCTGCTTTTAACTAGGACAAGGCAGCCCTCGCTGGGGTATTTCAGTGTCATCATCCCTGGCTCTCTTGGCTCACCCAGTTTCTATTTCGATTTTCTTCTTTCTATAGGAATATATATGGAGTGAGAAAAACAATGGGTCTCCTTTTGCCATGGCACAGTTTTTAAATCTCTGCAGCTTGAAGCCTGAACGTTGAAAGGATGTATAATAAACCCAGGGTGGTCCCTGCTGCCTTCTGGTCTCATAAATGTTACACTTGGGATGCAGACAGACTTTCTTTTGCAGTCCTGGTGACCCCCTGGGCAGCACTGGGACAGGAATCATAGATGTCTCCACTTGAAAATTAATCCACACATGAACCTTCAGATCTGTTGTCCTCCTCTGTCTTTCCGCTACTGAATAACAATATTCATCAGTACCTCAGCCCACAGAAGACAAGTTTTTCTACCTTTTTTGTTTTCCTCTAAAGAAATGCTCCCTTTGCCAGAGTCTCTGAGGCCTGGCTGCACCCGCTGTGCCTGCCCTCCACCCAAGCTCCTGTCATGGAGGGGATTTGGGCATTTAGGATTTAGCATTTTTTAGTGGCTGGGAGGTGTCCTTTTGGTGCTAACCACTCACACAAGTACAGGATGCTCTGTGTTAAGGTGATAACTTCTCTCTCATGCTTCAGGTTTCATTAAACTTATTTCCTTCTGGTAGACCAGTCCTCAGCAAAGGAAGCTTCCGCTGGTTTCCTGGCGGCTACAGTAACAGGGAAAACTGGGCAAGAGCTATATGGTTTAGTGTTGAAAATGCAAATGCATATTTATAAGCCTAAACTGCTAAAATACCCAAGTGTTAACTGGTTCCATGTGCAGTACTTCAACTGTAGGACTAGGGTAAGCAACTTGCTCGTGGGCATATTTGCATTTTATTCAGCCCTGGGGAAATACACTTGCAAGAAGACAAAACTGACATTTTTAAGCCTTCCGTTTCCACTTTTTCTTGGAGCAAAGTTTAATGTAGCAGTTCCCAGTGCAACTTATCATTGGTGTTTGACAGCACTCTGAGTTGCCCTTGCAGCATTAAAAATGACTTTCTTTATGCCACTCATGGCCATATTCCTTTGGTGTCTGTAATGTGGTGACCCTGAAATGGGAAGGGAAATGCTTTGCTTCAGTGAATGTTCCTTAGGTCAGGATTATTATAAATGAATGCACTCATGTACCAAAGCAATTCCTTTCAAGAATATAAAAGACATTTCCCTTCAGCATCTAAACACTGGAGTTGACCATTCAGAGTAAAAGTTGCAATGAGGCCTTCAAGGCTTCTATTGCTCCAGCTGAAGCAGCCTTTTGGTTAAGCCTGGACTCAGTGTCGCTGTTCACTGGCTATTTTGCTCAGCCTTAGTCTTTAACACTCATGGAAGATATAGCTGCTACAGTCAGAGATGTCAGTGATCTGCCTACTGCAACTCTTTTTGGGATTCCTGATATTAAAATACATGAAATCAGTTAGAGACACCAGCTGGAAAAGTACCAAACACCATCACAAGATGTCTTGAGCTAAAGAGGAATGGACAGCAGAAGATCCAAGATGACAGATCCAGGTCCTGGAGGTCAGCCTGGTGAGGCCAACAAGTCACTGAGACCCTGGATAGTTTTTTCTCATTTTATTCCTTCTGATCAAGATACAACCTTGGCAAAAGCTAAATACCACAGAGGGCTGCTTCGTCAGATAGTCAAATGCCTTTGACAGCACATAGACAGCTACAGCACGTAAGAGAACAAATGTTCTTCTTTTATACATGTCTTACCAGCCTAAATTTGCAGTTGGCATATTATTGGATGAACAGCAGACATGTCTGTAAAATGTATAAGGTTCAGCAAAGTAGTGCCTGTAAAACTTTTCTATCATGCCACAACAGAATGCAATTTATGTGTCCCACATGTCTTGCAGACAACTTGGAGAAAAATATGAATATTTTTAATTTTTGTAAAATCTCTACCATATGATAGTTTCTAAGATATTGTTTTTAATGCACAAATCTTTTCTAAATTTTTATATATTTTCAAATTTTTATCTTGGTTCTAGTAAGCAAAGCTCACAAGACTGTGATCAGACCTGACATAAAACACATCATCTTTAATTTCTGACATGTTACTTCATCATTATTTATTCATGATTTTTACTTATTTATTAATAAATCAACATTTCTTACCAGATATTTCCCTCCAGCATCACATGCTGGAGTTTTGATATCATTTTTATTTTCAAATGCTGTCTTTTGGCAGTTCAAAAAGCCTTAGACAATTTAAATAATAAAAGCAACTTCATCATCATGTGTTTCATTGTCCTATCCGCATTTTTTAAGGACATGCTAGTTGCAGAGCCGGCAGAAGAAACTATTTCAATGAATCCCACCTAGGGATTACTTGCATATATCACATATATTACTTAAATATTTCATATCATTTCACCTAGTACATTATATGTCTTTTTATAATAATCTTTTTATAATACTGCTGAACATATAAGTACTTAATTTTCCTTTAATAGAAAAGATTTTTGTCCCGGGATCAATGTCTCCCACTGAGAAAGTAAACATCTGTTTTGCAAAGCATTTCTGAAGCAGCAGGAGACCATTATCCTGTGACAACATTCTATTACAATTACTTTATTGCAGTCAGGCAAAATGAGTGATGTGTAGCAAATTTATTCTTTTTTCACATTCTGCCAAACCTTTCTGTTCTCTATCCAATGACTTCCATCTGGAGTATTGCCTGGAAGGACGGCTGGGGCATTCTGCCATTTGTCATTAATGATCTGTTGAATTACGATTGGCTTAAAGAACAGATCAATTTTATGTTTCAGCTACTCAGAAATAAAGTTCATCTGCAAGACAGAGTGGATTCACATTGATGAAAGCTGATGTTCTAGTAATCAGGTATATTTGAGTCCATCATGTTGCACAGTGTGTTACTGAAGGAGTATATAATTAATCTTGTACTGTGGGATGATCCTACATAATGAAAGCAGCAGAATCTGGACCTTAATGATCATAAAACACCCTAGTCTTAGCACACTCTAAAAGTAGAGTTTTCCTCTTATGAATGAGAAAAGAAAGTACAGATGAGTGATTCCATGATTCTCACGTTACATAGCAGATCAAGAGCAGAATTGGGAAAACCTTGTTGCCTAATCTAATTTAAGATAAAGTTACTCAGAATCAGTTTCATCTGTTCTCTTATCTCATTAAAAATGTCGGAGGAAACTACTGAATGAGTGGGGGGGGGGAGGGGGAAGAAAAAAAAAAAAAAAACAAAAAAAAAAAGGAATGCTCAAATAACAGAGCTTTGACTCAAATCATTAAGTCAAACTGGGACTGCAAATATCAGGGAGAATTTCTAAGGGCATACAGATTCAACTAATTGTCTAGAAGGAACACAGAGATGACTAAACATTCAGACTTAAAAATTTATAAATTGTAAAAGAAAAATATAGTGCGGCACTCACTACCTCTTATTTCCATTTGACTTGCACAGAGAGCCAGATTTACTGAATTCAACACGGGGTGACATAAACTGAATCTTTTCTTGATTAGCAGCTCTTCTGTATCTTGAGGTTTTTACCCTGAGAACAGCAGGTAACTGTGGCTTCTGTCTCAGAGTTACCTATGAGCCTCACCAATATTTGTGTAAAGCTGCAAAACAAGAAGATGCTGATGGGCTACTACATGGTGTACAGCCACCTCAGCCCAGCACTCTGTAGTTTAGTCAAGCCACTACTTATAGAACAGCTTCCTACAGAAGTCACTTGTTTTCACCCTTGTAATCACATTTATTCCAGATAGATTTCCTACTATACACAGTTTTTATTGAGGAGATTAATGTCATCAATCAGATTAGACCAACAAATATATAATAGTAGCTACATCTGAGATTAAAGCTGTATTGTATTGGGAGTTCAGACATTTTTTGAGACTTCTG